ATTACCTGTATGAATTCCCGGATTCGCCAATCATTCTCCGCCCATGCATCTGACGTCACACGCTTCCCTTCAAAAGGAAGCCGCAACCGCTTCTAAAGGGCTAAATCAATTCTTGTGGTTTGATGTGCTCTCGCTGCTTGCTACATTGTTGCTGTTTCGCTAAAGAACTCTACTAAACTGAATTCCTGTGTACCGAACCTCTGGCTTTGATCATGGCTTCGCTCTACTCTTCACTCCCTGACTTGGAACAGACTAACCTTGGATTCCTGCCTTTTTCACTTACCACAAGGAACCATAATCCACACTATTCTGGAAGCACTCACATGCTCTGTATTATTTCCTACAACAGGAATCAAATCACCTGCTCTGTCAATTTCTATATTGAAGTCTGTGGACTATATTGCTAATTAAGCATTTCTTAATTTTATAAATTATATATTCTTGTGATGCAATTCTGAAACAATATAACAAGTATTCATGCATTATTATTTCAAAACCTTATTGCTGCGGAAGACTGACAAAATTTTAATTCTTTATTTAAATAAATTATATTTTTCTTAAAGTGATAGTATCAAATGTATTATTTCACCTGCGGTTAAGTTCCAAATAAATCTGCCCGAAATTATTACAGTGTGTTTGGGGTCGTTATCATGTTGGAATACTGCCCTGAAGCCCAGTCTACAAAGGGAGGGGATCATGATCTGCTTCAATAATGTCATAGTACATGTTGGCATTCATGGTTCCTTCAAAGAACTGTAGCTCCCCAGTGCCAGCAGCACTCATGCAGGCCCAGACCATGACACTCCCACCACCATGCTTGACTGTAGACAAGACACACTTGTCTTTGTACTCCTCACCTGCTTGCCGCCACACACGCTTGACACCATCTGAACCGAATAAGTTTATCTTGGTCTCATCGTACCACAGGACAAAGGTTCCAGTAATCCATTTCCTTAGTCTGCTGGTCTTCAGCAAACTGCTTGCAGGCTTTCTTGTGCATCATCTTTAGAAGAGGCTTCCTTCTGGGATGACAGCAATGCAGACCAATTTGATGCAGGGTATGGTCTGAGCACTGACAGGCTGATCCCCCACCCCTTCAACCTCTGCAGCTATGCTGGCAGCACTCATACGTCTATTTCCCAAAGACAACCTCTGGATATGACGCTGAACACGTGCACTCAACTGGTCGACCATGGCGAGGCCTGTTCTGAGTGGAACCTGTCCCGTGAAACCGCTGTATGGTATTGCCCACCATGCTGCAGCTCAGTTTCAGGGTCTTGGCAATCTTCTTATAGCCTAGGCCATCTTTATGTAGAGCAACAATTCTTTTTTCAGATCCTGAGAGAGTTCTTTGCCATGAGGTGCCATGTTGAACTTCCAGTGACTAGTATAAGAGAGTGTGAGAGCAATAACACCAAATTTAACTCACCTGTTCCCCATTCACACCTGACACTGAGCCACATGACACCGGGGGAGGGAAAATGGCTAACTGGGCCCAATTTGGACATTTCCACTTAGGGGTGTACTCAGTGGCGTACTAAGGGGGGCGCGGCCCGCCCCGGGTGCCACTGACTAGGGAGGTGCCATGACTTCCAGTGTCATGTGTCACCCCCCCCCCCATCATTACGCTGCGCACAGCCACAGCACCATTGCGGCCCAGCGGGACTTACTTCTTGTATGAGGAGGAGAGTTGCAGGCCGCGGCGTCGCGCAACGTGATGACGACGTGCGCAGCGCCGTCAGTCCGCCTTCATGGATCTTCAGCGGAAAGATCCATTTCTGGGCGGTGAGGCACCCAGTGGTCGGACTCTGGGGCAAGGAAGGCATCATCAAAATATAAGTTATTTTATGTCTTGGGCTGAATTAATTAAAGGGGGAGGGGGGTGGATTAATAAAAGAATTTAAGGGGAGGTTTAATTAAAGGGAGTAGGTTAATTAAGGGGGGGTGGGTTAATTAGAGGGGGTGAATTAATTAAAGAGGGGGTGGATTAATTGAAGGGGTGGATTAAAGAATTAAAGGGGGAGGTTTAAGTAAAGGGGTGGATTAAAAATTAAAGGGGTGGAGGTTTAATTAAAGGTGGATTAATTAAAGGGGGTGGATTAATTAAAGAGGGTGGATTAATTAAGGGGGAGGATTAATTAAAGAGGGGTGGAGGTTTAATTAAAGGGGGTGGTTTAATTAAAGGGGGTGGATTAAAAAGGGGGTGGAGATTAAAGGGGGGTGGAGGTTTAATTATAGGGGTGGAAGAGGGGTAAGGATTAAAGAGGGGGTGGATTAATTAAGGGGTGTGTGGATTAATTAAGGGGGTGGATTAAAGAGGGGTGGATTAAAGGGGTGTGGATTAATTAAAGGGGGTGCAACGCGGGAGAGGTTTATTTAAGGGGGGGTAGGTTTAATTAAGGGGGGGTGCAGGTTTTTTTTTAATCAAGGGGGTTGCAGTATTTTATTTATTAAGGGAGGATGTGCACTGCAGATTTTTGTTTTTTTTAAGGGGTGTGCAGGGTTTTTATTAAGGGGGTGTGCATGTTTTTTGTTATTAGGAGAGTTGTGCAAGTTTTTGTTTTTTTATTAAGGGGATGTGCGGGGTTTTTTATTAAGAGGGTTGTGCATGTTTTTTTTTATTAAGTGGGGTGTGCAGGATTTTTTTTAATTAAAGAGGTTGTGTAGGTTTGTGTTTTTTTTATTAAGGAGGGTATGCAGCTTTTTTTTTTAATTAAAGGGGTGTGCAGGGTTTTTATGTGTAGGGAGTGTATAAAATTTATGTGATCGGGGTGCAGGTTTTTTGTTATTAAGGGGGGGTTGTGCAGGTTTTTGTTTTTTTATTAAGGGGGTTGTGCATGTTTTTTTTATTAAAGGGGGTGTGCAGGTTTTTGTTTTTTTAATTAAGGGGGGTGTGCAGGGTTTATGTGTAGGGAGTGTATGAAATGTATGTGTTCAGTGTGCAGGGTTTTTATATGAAGGGCAAAGGGCAGGGGTTTTCTAGAAGGGGCGAGACCAGGGGCTTTGTATAAAGGGGGAGGGGAGGAGTTTTCTAGAAGTTTCTCACCAGCCCCTTTCTACAAAAGCACTGGTCTTCCCCCTTCTACAAAACTGGCACATTTATACAAAACCTCTGCCCTGGCCCCCTTCTACAAAACCTCTGCCCTAGCCGCTACATCTTTTGAACCCAAATCCCTTTCCTATGCTATTTCTAAGGATCGGCTCAATGAAGTGGTCTGGGTGCCAGGTCCCTCTTGTTTTAACCCGTTGAAAACATATGTTTCACGGAGGGTTAATCCAGCCTCTAGTGGCTGTCTCACTGACAGCCCCTAGAGCCGCTTCCGCAATTCTCACTATAAAACTCACAGTGAGAAGAAGCTGGACGTCCATAGGAAAGCTTGGCCAGTTCCAGATGTTTTAAGCGTGGACCTTATTAAGAGGGGAAGTGAACCTTTCCAAAATAGAGATGGGCCATTCAGTCCTGTTGAAAGGCAAGGAGAGAAATCAAAAGGGAAGAGTCGACAGCTGACCACTGCATGGTTCTATAAGGCTATGCCTAATGGCGAAAAAATTCTTAGAACGTGGATGGTGTACTCTCCATCAAAACAAAGTTTGTTTTGTTTTTGCTGCAGACTTTTTGCTGTTGATGACAAAGTAACAGGGACATCCAGTTTTGTTACTGGGTTTCAATTGTGGTGGAAGCTGAACCCAAAGGTGTCTGATCACGAGGCTTCTGAGCAGCATCTTAAATGCTTGGAGAAATGGAAGACCTTGAGAGCAGGATTGAAGCTACAAAATGCCTTGATCATGTCCATTAAACAGTGGACAGAGAGAAAAGGAAATGGAGGGATATTTTGCATCGCCTTTTGGATGTAACTGTTTCTGGCTCACCAGAATCTTCCCTTTCGTGGTCATAGAGAGACCATGTCATCCGCAAACAAACGCAACTTCCTGGAATTGGTAGAATTGCTCTCAAACTATGATCCCATTTTAAAGGAACATTTCATGAGGCTGAAACATGCTGTTGCATCTGGAAAGAGAATGACTTCCTATTTCTCTCCAAAAATTCAGAACGCATTAATTTGTCTTTTGGGAAATCATGTGAAGGACAAAATAGTGGCTGATATCAAGAAAGCAAAGTACTTTGGGATTCTTTTTGACAGCACCCCTGATGTGATCAGATATGTTCATATTGAAGGGGACAATGTTGAAGTAAAGGAATCATTCTTGGGCTTCTTTCCTGTTGCTGAAAAGACTGCTGCTGAGCTCACAGAAAATATCCTGCAACATCTGGAGGAAGATGGACTAGATATAAGCCTTTGCCGTGGTCAAGGATATGATAATGCTGCAACTATGGCAGGGATTCATGGTGCTGTTCAGGCAAAAATAAGAGATTAATCCCAAGGCTTTGTTTATGCCATGTGCAAACCATTCCCTGAACCTATGTGGGGTGCACTCATTTGGAAGTGTTGTTTCCTGTGTGACCTTTTTTGGAACATTGGAGAGAGTGTATTCCTTTTTTTCGGTTTCTACACATCGTTGGGAATTGCTGATGGAGAATTTAGGTGCAACAGTGAAAAGACTTTCACAAACAAGATGGAGCGCTCATTATGATGCTGTGAAGCCAGTGAGGGCAAATGCCAGGAGAGAAGGCAAAGGACGCTGGTCTCACATTGCCAGAGGAAATGAAAAGGGCTATGTTTGAGTGCCTTGATCGTTTTCATCACGAGTTGGAAATTCGTTCCCAGGCAATTGAAAAAATCCTTTCAATGTTTGCTGTTATTCAGCCAAACTCTCTGGTTGTGGCAACAGAGAAAGATATTCGTAATTATACCCCAAAATTGATAGATTTTTTACGAATTCTCTAATGAAGACATCTTTAGGGAAATTGAATGTCTTCAGAGGCATTTGGAAGCTGCCAAGATCAGTGTTGAAGAAGCAAAGAAATGGACAGCATTGCAGTTCCTGGAGTTCATTGTTAAATGGGATTATTGTGAATCTCTGCCAAATTTGTCACTGTGTTTAAGATTCTTTTTTACTCTGTGTGTGTCTATTGCTTCATGTGAAATAAGTTTTTCCAAATTAAAACTGATAAAAAATTTCTTTCGCTCAACCATAAGTGAGACAAGGTTGACAAATCTGGCTATACTTTCAATTGAGCATGAATATGCAAGGAAGATTGGCTTTGATGAAGTAATCGATACATTTGCAGAAATGAAGTCTCGAAGGCAGTGGATGTGTATCATTGCAAATTACCTCTGCCGAATAGACTGAGGGGGGGAGGGGTGCAACATTCAGGGTCTGCCACGGGTGCCAAATGCTCTAAGTACGCCCCTGGGTGAACTCACTTTTGTTGCCAACGGTTAAGACATTATTGGCTGTGTGTTGAGTTATTTTGAGGGGACAGCAAATTTAAACTGTTATACAGGCTGTACACTTACTACTTTACATTGTAGCAGAGTGCCATTTCTTCAGTGTTGTCACATGAAGAGATATAAAATATTTATAAAAATGTGAGGGGTGAACTCACTTTTTTGAGATACTGTATATATTGTAAGTGGACAATTGAAATATATTTTGCTTGCGTGTACATACAATCCTGCACTATGCTGTGCCACAGTCAAGGTCAAACTCACTAACATGCAAACTAAGGGGCTCAATGGATAGACAAAGCCAGACATATCACTGGGCCTTAGAATGGCTGGACTTAACGTATGATTAAGTAAAGCGAGTCATTTAGAATAGTCAGACAGCCCAGGTCAGGATTGGAGATGGAAAGATAAACGTAGAACAAAGCCAAGGGTCAAGGATACCAGTAGAAAGGATAAACGGGATACAAGCGGAAGCCATATACCAGAAAACACATACCAAAGAAATTTAGCACTCTCAAGCTACAAAAGACCACAAGACAAGACAAGGAAATTATGTAAGAGGGAGGCTTAAATAGGGCTAAGTGAGAGCTGATAGGCTAGGGAATCAATTAGGGTAATAATTGAACAGATATAAATTGAGTACTAGTCTATAGGTAAATTATGTTACTTCCCCTTTAAAGGGCCAAAGACAAGGAGGGTGCTTGCCCCCTAGCTTGTCATTGTGTGAGCACATGCACATGCACACAAACCCGCGATGTTGGCCAAACGCCAGCATACTGCAGGAGAGGAGAGCTGGAGACAGCATGGACATGGCAGGACCCAAGCGGCGCGGCCGAGAGGAGGTATGACAGCTACTACCTTAGGTGCCAGATAACTCAGAACACATTCAGAAGTCTTGTGGAGTTCATGCATCTACGCTTCAGAGCAGTTTTGGTACCATAAAGGGAACAACATTATTCCAGCTCACATGCTCAAGTCCCCATTAAAGGAATTTTCGGCAACTTATAAGAGTCATCATGAGCACTCTGACAGGTCTATTGCTACGCAGCACATTGTGTGTTCTGACACCTTTCTGTTATGGTCAGCATTAAAATTATCAGCAACTTGGACTTCAGTAGGTCTTTTGTGCAGTCGAACCAGATGGGCTAGCCTTTACTTCCCATGATTATCAATATGCCTTTGGTACCCCTAACGCCGTTTCACCAGTTGTCCTTTTTTGCACCACTTTTGGTAGGTACTAACCACTGTTTCAGAAAACCGAACACACTGACAGTGCAGTCATAGGTGCACTGTTCCACCTCATTTTTATACATTGGGTGCAATACATGTGGACACAAAAAAAAAAAAAGGTAACAAGAATTAAAATTATGGAAGAGGTGCAGAAAGGAATATTTTAATGCAAATAAGGGAAAAAAAATAGGCACAAATAAAAAATTAACAAAAAACAGCCTAGAAAATAGCACTATACATTTTATACATAACCACCAATGTTACAATTTGAGCATGTAATGGGTAATTTTAAGCCTTCTTAGTATAATATTCAATATATACAGTAGTAATAAATATGTATTATATATAAATAAATATATTTATTTACACTCTTAGCAAACATCTGCTTTGGACAATACTTTACTTTCTTGTAGCAGTTTTTGCAGCAAGCATACACTAATATGATCCTTAATTCTCCAATTCTTGCATATCACAACATATAGTAATTCTGCAGTAGAGTGCTCGAAAAATAATTAACGCTAAACTATAGCTCGACTGAGCAGATTTTTCCATTTATATAAATCAGCACCATAAGTATGGATTATTTTTCTGTAAGAAAGTAAAGGGGAAAATGGTCACATAATTATTTTCTTTTAATAAAAAAAAAAAAATTATAATTAAAAAATTGAAAATCAGCTTGTATGGGGTAAATATAATGGCAGCAGGTGCTAATCCTGCGTACTAATGCAGTCTTTTCGCAACACAGCCGTTTCTGTTCAGTGATTAAATCCCTCTGCCCTAAAACAATGCACAAATGTTTTTTGTTTTTTTTTTTGCTTTGCATGAAGAGCAATTTGACAACTGTAAGAAGCTGGTTCCATGACATTCTGTTGGCATAGATTAGTAACTAGCAGTTAAGAGACTTGAAGGCATATTTTCATGGGCAGTTAAAATCTGTATTAGGGTTGGATATTGGCATGAAGGCGCGCATGGGTCATTTTATGGAAGGTTTTTACTTAAAGGAGTATACTATGTTTGGTGCAATCAGTATTATTCACTAAATACTGAAATTTCACAACTGAAGATAAAATAGCTATTCAGGAATATATCTCTAACACAGCTTCTATACCTGAGCCTCATTTGACTAGCCGTCTTTAAAGGACCACTCCAAAACCCATAAAGCTCTTCAGCTTGCTGAAATGCTTTACATGTCAGGACCTTTCTCATTTTAATTGCAGTTTATAAACCTGCCAATTTCTATCTGGAATCAGCACTTTTATAAATTTCATCAGAAACCTGGCTGGCAATCATGTGCCTCCTAACATAAGGAATAGACAAAGAGAAACTTTAATTTTAAGGGTGTGTTCCCAGGGGCGGGTCTATACTGAGAAAATGTAGGTGATTTAGTAATAATTTATGCAACTAAAATGTAATTTAGAACAAGAGCAATGTATCTTATTTACATAGGATGATTGCTAAATACAATTATAGTAGTTTAAAGACACATTACTATGAGTGTTATTGTTGCGGATCTCAGAAAAGCGGGACATTGTGATAGAAAAGATAGATTTGGGTCCAAAATAAGGACTGTCCCTCCTAAATATGGAAACTTCCACTAGATCCACAGAGCTGTTCTGCTAGATTGTAGCTATCTCCCCTCCAAGTCACAATATGCATCTGAGTACTGTGAGCATCTCTGCTGGGCCCTGCATCAGTTCTGCCTTTCCCGATACCTCCCTCTCTACATGGAAAGCCATGTGTGTGCTCAAAATCTTAAGCAAACATGGTTTAAAATCAGAAGCATATTAATGCCTCTGAGTGGTCTTTTCCCTGGCACAGGCTAAATATGGAGGGCTTGCAAAGGCTGCAGATATATCTGCAACTTCTGCAAGCTATATTTACAATGAAAAAAAAAAAAATTAGAACACTGCTGGCACTTCCATCTCTTCGTACATTTGGCTAGATTCACTTCAGAAGAGCGGCATTCGGTGGAAATACACTCCCGAACAAGAGACACAGACTAAGCGTACATACAAGCTGGTTGCATTCGTATTTCTGTTGTATTGTGATCTCCCGAAAGAGACTGACCGCACAGCCTGATTTCATGGAACTGTTTTGGGCAGGAGCCTCGTGTGCGGTCTGTCAAATTATGACCTCCATGGAAATCCTGATTCCCTGAACCGATCGTGATTTTTGGATATGTTGGGGATATGACTTTTGTGGGGTTTCCACGTGTTTTAGGGGTACTTTGCAGAGGTTGTTAAAATGTATGTTTTTTGTGCCTAGAGCTAATTGAGTTTGTACCATCCCTGACTCAATTATCTCTCAGACACAGGGGAGAGATTATCTTGTTTTGTGTGGGAGTGTCTGTAATCGTGTGTATATTTTTACAGTAGTCTACTCTCAGGTCCAATGGGGAGTGCACTTTGCATGGGGACCTGCATATAAGGCCAGTTGTGGCTGCCAATAAAGGAGTTCCTGCTTACCCTCAACATAGAGTCTCATCTTATGTGTGGAGGGAACAGCTGTATCTACTCTGGGGATTGCTATATCACTATACTCCCATGGTTATAATCACTTGCTCTTGTAAGAGCACACTGCTCTACTCTCTGGATTAGGAGAGGTCTACCCACTGGAAGCTAAATCCTGGTCTTGGGTCCAGGGTGGGTGGAGGACAACGAGACCCCAACCAAGCTGTAATGCTGGAAGTGGGGACTATGAGGGTTATGTTGTCTAGTGCAGTGCTTATGGTACTTAAGGATTACTAGGAAGCAGCGATTGGCGGAGACACCCAGTCGGGGTGCCAGGTGGTCCGTC